GGCTCGGATTTGCAGTTTGATCAGCATCTCTTTCCATAGTTTGCGATTCCTGCGATTGAAAAACATTAGGAAATTGCCCTTCTTCGATGTTAAATTGGGCATCAATAGGAATATCACCACCACCACCATAACCAGAAGAAGCCATTATGAAAAATAAGAGAGATTGAGAGCGCTTTGAGAGAGCTTAAGAGAGATCGAGATTCGAGAGAGATTTAAGCGAGATTAAGAGAGATTTGAGAGAGATTAAGAGAAATTGAGAGAGATTAAGAGAAATTGAGAGAGAATGAGAGTTTTGGGGTGAGGAATGAGAAAAATGGTTGGGGGGTATTTATAGGAAAATTTTTGGGTTGAAAAAAAAAATTTTTCCCCCAAAAATTCGGGTCCAACGGCTACAAAATTTTCGGGCAGGTCGGGCAAAATTCGGGCAAAGGATAAAAATCCAACCGTTTGGTTCAAAAATTCGGGCAAAATTTGGGTTTGGGTTCGGGTTCGGACAAAAGACCGTTTTTTTTTCAAAATTTGGGCATTTTCGGGCTAACGGTAAAAAAAAATCGAGCATTTTTCGGGCACGGGTCGAAATTCGGGCAATGGTCACAAAAAATTCAGGTAATTCGGGCAGTTCGGGCAGCTTCGGGTATTTGCCGGAAAATTTAAAAAAAATCCGGCGAACGGCGGGGGAAGGCTTCTCCACGGCAGCGGGCTCTCGGGGGGCTTACCATTTTCAGGCTACCCGAGCCCGTGCCCGAAGAAAAACATTTTTCGGGCGGCGAGAGGGGCCTGCCCGCCGTGCCCGAAAATTTTCGGGCATCGGGCATGCCCGCCGCCCGAAAGTCCAACACTACTTTTATCCATACAAAAAAAAATGATACTAAAACGTTTGGTTCATGGATTAGAATCATGAGATTAAAATTATTTTTGACTATATTTTTTATTTACGTGTATTTTTTGTGAGAAAAAACACTGTAACGAACCATAAATTATGATTTAAATCGGGATACGAATTCTCCAACCAAACAACCCCCATCTCCATCCGCAATTTGTTACACGGCTAGTGTTGAAAGTTTTTTCTTTTCTTTTTTTAGTAGACATTATTATTATTATATTAAAGGAAAGCTTAAGATTACTGTTGATTAAGACTCCGGAGACGTTTAGTAAGCAGATTCATATAATGATTTGAATCATAGTTCATGATTCGTTACAATATTTTTTCTCATAAAATGATTATAATCTCATAACTCTAATTTATGAACCAAACGCCTTCTTAATTTATTGTCTTTTTATAGAAGAGTAACAATTTTGCCCTTAAATCCCTGTTTATCCTTCTACCGGTACAGGGGCTGCGTGGTCTTTCCGCTCCAATCTAATTGGTTGATTTGACTGTTTTGCCCGTTCTCTCCCTTTATTGGGCAGAGACTTTTTTGTATTTTTCTTTCTTTTTTCTTCTCCTTCTTTCCTTCCTCTTTTCTTCTCCTTCTTCGAAGAACCTACTAGGTTCTTCTGAGCAAAAAAAAAAAAAAAAAAACCAGCCGGTTTTTCCTTTCTTCTTGGTGCCAATTTAGGCGCTCACAGTCTTATCCCACCAAACTCAATTTTCCATCCCATCAAATTCTCTCTCTCTCTTTCTCTCTCTCTACGACGCTGAATTCTTCTCTCTCTAAGATTGGCAATTTCACTTTCTCAAACTATTTTGCTTTAGAAGGTACCAATCTCCACCATCTCTTTTCATGATGTTTTTTGTCTCTTCTCCCTTTTTTATCCACTGATTGTTGTTATTTTCTTTAACTGTTTGAATTTTGTGCTTTTTTATACAATACCCTTTTATTGTTGTGCTTTTTCTGTTGATGACGTTTTTCAAGGGACAATTCTGCAAGTACGCTCCTTCATGTCTCAGGTCCATAATCTTCCTCTCATTTTCAAAGTTTTTTTTTTTCTTTTTTTAATTTGGTGTTATATATGTGTGTGTGTGGTTGCAGTAAAATCTTTTGAATTGTAGATCTCTCATTATGAATGAAACTGTCATGCGAAACGAAATATAGGCGCTTAGAGTAAAGGCTCGGAGAAAGAAATTGTTGTCTCCAAAGGGCATGGATGTACGCCCAATAATGGAGGTTGTCAAAGGTGTTGCTTTTGGTATATTACAGGTAAAACCTGTGCATTTGTTCATAATTTTTCTGTGAGAAAAGGGTTTTAATCTATTGGGTTTCTTCACATTTGTCTGATTATCTATTTGCTTGCCAAATTATTATTCTTCTTATTAAGAAAAGAATTAAGGTGATGTAGAACTAAAGAGAGAAGAAAAAGAAGAGGAAAGGAAGAGATTTAGAAGAGAAATTAGGAAGAAATTTGAGAAAGGAATGAGGAAGAAGAAATCAAGAGTGGGAATAATACTGAAATTGTATTCAATACTCATCAATTACATAGCTAAGCCTATTTATAAATATACAAGGTGATAATTGTACCTATATGTTTGGAATTTCTGTTTGTGGGATTCATTGGCTATGTTCTGATCAATGGCCATTTGCTTTCTATAATCAAAAAATGAAAAAGATTGTCCTTTACTTTTGTTAATGATTTATGGTTACCCTTCTGCCTGATAAGCTTAGTGGTGATTTGTGCTGTAGAAGACTTTGTTGGTTATGTTAAAAGATTCAAAGGCTTTAGGTGTTTACGAGGAATGTAATAGGGATGGGCCTGATTACTTTGATTACTATACATGTCAAGTTGTAGAGTTGCTATCAGAGGATGAAAATTCTCTACCTTTGACTTTGCAACCTCCCAAGTTACCCGGAAGAGAATTTGGCGAAGCCAAGGGGGATTCTTTATTTAGTAATGCAATTAATATTATGCTGTTGAATTTCCAAAGAGAAAGATTGAATTTCCAAAGAGAAAGATTGAATGCATTGCTTCAACAAAGTGCGATTGTCCTTACTGCAGAATCTGATAAGGTATTCACTTTCAATTATGTAACAGAGTGATTTATAGCTAGATCTAGCAGTGCTTAAGTTGGAATAAATCTTGAAGATGAATGAAAGTCAAATACAACTTTTTTTGTTAAATTTTTAGTTTTTTTTTTTTTTTTCTTGAATTGGTTTTCTGTGGTATTCTTTAAAAAATAGGATTGGGATGATCCACTTTTTAGTGTAATTTGATGAACATATTATCAACTAGGGAAGTACTTGAACAAGAGGCATGCTTAGATGCGTTGATCTCTATTATATTGGACTCATCAACCGATCAAATGGTACATCAAATGCTTTGATCTCTATTATGTTGATCTTTTTTTCTTTTTTATTTATTTTTTTGTATTGATAGGTGAGTTATCTGTAAAGTGACAATTGAAACGTTTTAACCAATGTTGTTCGAAACGCAATGTACGTTAGGCTTACCATAATTTCTGTCACGGTTAGTTTCTAAATTACAGGCTTTTTGCCCTTTATTTCTGTTTAAATGTTTGCTCTGAAATTGAATACTGTTGTTTTTATAATGTTTTTGTTATGTTCGTTTTGTTGTTAGGTTTTGCCAAGGAGTATGGTTTATGTGCAAAGTATTGTTGCTGTCTGAGCCAAACAATTGGAAGGTTTGCTTCACAAATATTGATGTTATTTAAATTACAAGGTAGATTTGTTGGTTGTCGAATCGAATTCGGATGCGGAAGCGTGGCGGGGAGACAGATCGTGTATAACAAAATTTCAGAAAAACTTTTCAAATAATCTATAGATTATATTAATTTATTGTCATGCCCCTCAAACGGGGTGGGTGACGTGGAACTCGATTTGGGATTAATAAAGTAGATTCCCAACCGGGCCCCACACTTAACTGCATTAAAATATAAATAAATTACAGAATTCCGGAACTTCTGACACACAGGGCTCTACCTCACAGGACATACAGTATCGTACATACATGTTTATGTAAATAATCATTACAACAGACATCAACCACAGTCTAGTAAATCCAAGTATTACATAAGTTTATAGAATTCTCAAATTGCTTACATTTATTCAAGAGGATAAACTCAATCATCTCTTGATCCAACAGTAGCAATCTTCTGCTACCCCGCACCGCTCTTAGAGTCTCATGGGAGGGATTTAATACATTTGAAACATAAAACGTGAGCGAAAGACCCAGTAGGATATAATTTGCAAGAATGTAAAATAAATAAATAGATAAAGTGCAAGTAAATGAATAAATGGGTACGTAAATGAATAGACATTCAGTTCCAACAGACAGTCGGAACTTCACATCTTTTTTTTCAAAGGAAATAAATGTAAATTCTCCATATTACAGGCTTCAGCAAGTAATTAGTACAAATTACTTACCTAACCAAGTGTCTCGCCTACCCAGATCGAGTTTCGAGTTCTGCCCCCGAGGATGCACTCTCCTCATCCTATCTAGGTTTACAGCAATAGACTCTATTACCAGTTCACAAGATCTCTTTGTTTAAGAAATCATTCATTAACATTTTGAAATCGTTAATATGTTCCCACGAACTATTCAAGCCGTGAGCCCCATGACTGGACAAACTATGAGGTTTCATGACTAAACGAGCTATGGATTCTATGGACAGGACAAGCCATGGATTTCCATAAACTAAACAAGCCATGGTTTTCAAAATGTTTTTCTTTCGCAAACCAATCCCTTTCTTTAAAACATTTTCAAGGCCGAAATCCTTTTTAAAAACAGACTCACAAAGAAAAGGGATATAAATCCTACCTCGCACTATCAAACCTGGGACTAACGTTGCCTTTTTCGGCTTCCGCTTCCTCAAGCCCCTTCAGTCTGAATCCTCAGCGATCACTGATGCAAGAGAACACTTTAGGATCAATTCTCATTCCTAAAACGATCGAAATCTCAATTATGTACCAAGATTTTCAATTAGTGTGCCCTAATTCATTTTTATGTTTCAGAATATCATTCCAAAGGTTATCAAATATCAAATTAAGGATTAACAATGCCAATTCACTTATCTCAAGTTCCAAAATGAAGCTAATTTGGATCATCTCTGAAAACATGGGTTAAAACAGCAATTTCAGGCCAAATAGGGTCAAACTCTGTGTCAACCGGTCGATCGATGACAGAGCAGTGCAACACTATCGGTCAACCGGTGGTGTGCACACCGGTCGACCGGTCAGCCTACAATCCGGTCGACCGGATAGGTCGATCGGTTTTCATGTGATCCGGTCGACCGTGGTGGAATCAACTGCGCGAGATAAGCTCGCGAAAATTAGTCCAAAACCTGCAAATCCAGTCTCAAATCGAAATATTTCAAAGGGAAATCACTAGATTTGGGTTCTAGGTCCTAAAATAAGTCCAAAGAACCCAAGATCTCAAATTTATACTCTAGTTTTACTCAAAAACCATCAAAATCCGGTTTGAACCAAAAATAAGTTTTGAAATTCAAAAACTTGAGATTCAAGGGATGTTCTTTTAGTAATCTTATCTCGAATCATTCTCTTGACGTTGAAAACTTCTTTAAATTTTTCCTTGGTTCAAGATCCGTTTTGATTTGGGACAAAAATGAGAGAGGGAGAGAAGGCACGGGAGAGTGAGAGAGAGAGTGAGGGAGAGTGACGCGCGGGAAAGGAAGGGAAAAAGAAAGGAAAAAGAAAAGAAAAGAAAAAGAAAAGAAAAGGAAAAAATAAGAAAATGACATGTGTACAATGTTTTAAAAGAGCAGTCCAGAAATACACACTTCTGGTTTAAAATAAATTACTAAAAATAATTTGAATACCTTAGAACTATTTAAACTCACACGTGTCAGAAATATTTATTAATTAATACTCAATTAATAATCCAGATTAGGCACACTAATAATCTCAATTACCTTAATTAATCTCAATTAATTCTTCAGGGTGTTACATTTATGCACGAATAAATTAATCACATTAATTTATATATATCAAGAACTCAATCAGAAAAAATACCTGGAAGCCGACTCGGATGATAACTTGAGTTCTTTGTCCACGAACAGTCCTTGCTCCAAGTTTTGTGTTTAGAAAACCAAGGTCTTCCTTGTCGATTCCTTGATTCCATGTAGACGTGTGTGTGGGCACACGTGAGACAAAACAGGTTTAAATAACACTCGATTTTCCACAAACATCAACGCATGCACGATGTGAAATTTTTAGGAGAAAAAATTTTCCTCTCTTTCCAATGAGAATTTCAGCCACACTAACTAATTAGGGCTGAAAATTGCTTTCAAAAATTGTGTTCACAATTTTCTATCATTCTCATATTTAAAGAGTAGAAGTCAAACTTTAAAAAGGAATCCAATCTCTATCTCCAATTTGAATTTGAAACAAAAAATCTCCTACCCATTATCCCTTAAGTGGCCGGCCACCCTAGGGTTACCTAACCCTGTGTGTGGCGCCAAATCTGGATAGGGAAGGAAGAGAATTCATTATTTATCTTGTAGTTCAATTTTAATTCAAATTCAAATTTGAATTTAAGTCAAACTTAAATTAATTTGAATTCTAAATTGAACAACTTATCAAATAAGTTCAAAATGATAAATTTAAATTATGTTCACAATTCAAATTTAAATTTAAATAATCACATTATTTAAATAATAATTAATTCTCAATTAATTATTTTTTGAGTATTTAATTTTAGAATTTCGTAATCTTAAAATTCTCATTTTGCCCTTTGTGTCTGGTAGAATTACAAGGACGACGCGGTGACTAATGGACCTATAATCCCGAGCTCCAATAAAATTAATAATTAATTAAACACTTTAGTTAATTAATTAATTCTATTAATTCCAATAGTTGCTCCACTATAAACTTGGAATTGAACTCTCGAAATTATAGACATTAATTACTTTTATATAACACTTATATACTATGTTTAAGGTTACATAAACAATCACGGAATTTTCATTTGATATTCATAAAATATTCATAAATATATGCACATAAAATGATGAATAAATTCTTTTATTAATTAAATAACAAATATCCTATTACATCTTATGTTTTTAGGACACTATTCCCAACAATCTCTCACTTGTCCTAAAGCAGGTGTGTCATGTCTGTAATTCCAAATCCATCTAAGTGCCGATTAAATACATTCAATGACAATGTCTTGGTGAACAGGTCAACAAGGTTGTCCTCTGACGTGATCTTCAGAACTGCTACATCGCCTCTATCTATAATGTCTCTGATCAGGTGATATTACATTTCTATATGTTTCGCACTCTTATGGCTTCTAGGTTCCTTTGAATTAGCCACCGCTCCACTGTTGTCACAGTAGAGCTTAATTTGCTTATCTATATTTGGAACAACTTCCAGATCAGTTAAGAACTTCTTGAGCCATGTAGCTTCTTTTGCGGCTTCACAAGCTACAACATATTCAGCTTCCATGGTAGAGTCAGCAACACATTTTTGCTTTATACTTCTCCATACCACGGCTCCTCCATTAAGAGTGAACACAGATCCAGATGTCGACCGTCGACTATCTCTATCCAATTGGAAATCAGAATCTGTGTATCCGGTGAGAGACAAATCTTCTCCGGAATATATCAACATATAGTTTCTCGTTCTCCTAAGATACTTGAGAATACACTTCTGTAACCCAATGATCTAATCGTGGGTTGGATTGGTAGCGGCTGACCACTCCCACTGCATAACAGATATCTGGTCTTGTACACAACATGTCATACATAAGACTTCCCACGGCCGAAGCATAGGGATACCGTCTCATATCTTCTTCCTGTTGCTCCTTAGAAAGATGAATACCATGCCTAGAAGGTAAATTCTCTTTCTTAGAGTTCTGCATCAAATATCTAGACAACATTTTGTCTATATAAGATGTCTGTGATAACGCCAAAAGCTTTTTCTTGCGTCTCGAATAATCTTAATCCCAAGAGCATAGCTTGCCTCTCCCAAATCTTTCATTTGAAATTAGTTGGCTAACCACTCATTTACATCTGTCATCAATCCCACATCATTCCCAATGAGTAGGATGTCATCGACGTAAAAAATTAAGAAGACCACTTTCTCTTCTTTCTTGTACTTGTAGACGCATGGTATCAATGTTTTGATCAAATCCATAAGACTTTATAACCTCATCAAACCTGATGTTCCATGATCTAGAAGCCTGCTTCAGTCCATAAATGGACCTCTGCAGTTTGCAGACTTTCTGCCTTTGGCCTTCCTCGATGTAATCCTCTGGCTGATCCATATAGATGGTTTCCTCAAGATAGCAATTCAAAAAAGTTATCTTGACATCTATCTGTCATATCTCATAGTCAAAATATGCTGCAATGGCCAGGAGTATCCGGATGGACTTAAGCATAGCTACTGGCGAGAAAGTTTCCTCATAGTCAACTCCATCCTTTTGGGTATAACCCTTAGCCACTAGTCTTGCTTTATAAGTCTCTACTTTTTCATCCGCTCCTCTCTTTCTCTTGAAGATCCACTTGCATCCAATGAGTTTTACTCCATCGGGTAGATCTACAAGTTGTTAGACTGAGTTAGAGTGCATAGACTCCATCTCGAGTTTCATAGTTGCTTGTCATTCTTTCTTATCAGAATCATCCATCGCATCCTTAAAGGTCGATGGATCCTCCTTACCGTCATCAACAGTGACGATTTGGGCTTCCCCGGTATACCGGTCGGGTAACTTGCTTACCCTCCTCCCACTACGACGAGGTGCCTTAG